TTCTGAGATGTGTTTTCCATGGGGATATAAACAATCAATACCCTAAAGACCCTATCTTGTCATTTGTCACTCAGCACCCTATAATTTTTCCAAAGGTTACTGCCTCTGAGCCATTAGTCCCAGCAACTACAATATACACAGATGGCTCCAAGATGGGGATAGGCGCCTATGTGATCCTAGGCAAGCCCCCGGTTACCATACAATTTGAACCTGATCAGCCTCAGGTGGTGGAACTGCAGATCGTTAAAATGATTCTTGAACGGTTCTCAGAAGCCATTAATATTGTCTCCGATTCTAGGTATGTGGTCAATGCTATGCAAGTGCTTGAGACTGCCGGTTTAATTAGATCCACTTCCACAGTGGCTGGGCTGTTCCTGTCTATCCAGACATTGCTTCAGAACAGACACCATAAGGTCTTCACCACCCACATAAGAGCACATACATCCCTGCCGGGGCCCATGGCACAGGGGAATGCGGCTGCTGATACTGCCACTCGCCCGTTATGGATTTTTACCTTACTAACACCAATCGAGCGAGCCCGTGCCTTCCATGATAAGTTTCATGTCAATGCCAGGACACTAGCAAACCATTTCCATGTTTCCAGAGCAGATGCACGAGATATCGTGCGACTATGTGACTCCTGTGCCACATACAAACCTGCCATACCGATGGGAGTAAACCCTCGAGGTTTGGTCCCTGGTGATGTTTGGCAGATGGACATCACACATATACAGGAGTTTGGGACTCTTAAATATGTTCATGTTTCCACAGACACCTGTTCTCACGTCATATTCGCAACAGCAGAAACAGGTGAAAAAGTGTCTAATGTGATCAATCATTGCCTGGCGGCTTGGGCCGCATGGGGCAAACCAAAAATATTAAAAACTGATAATGGACCAGCCTATATAGGCAAAGCCTTCAATGAGTTCTGCAAAATGATGGAGGTTCAATTAAAACATGGTATCCCATACAATCCCCAAGGTCAAGGAATCATTGAGAGGGCTCATAGAAGCCTCAAAGAAATTTTACAAAAACAAAAAGGGGGAGTAGGCCAAGGCCTGGCCCCAAAGGCACGATTATCCATGGCACTATTCACACACAATTTTTTAAATTTAAATAATGATAATTGCTCCCCAGCCGTGGAGCACTGCAACCCTTCCCCCAACCATAAAGGGTGGGTGAAGTGGAAAGATGTCCTGACAGGACAATGGATGGGCCCGGATCCAGTGGTCAGCTGGAACCGAGGCGCGGTTTGTGTTTTCCCACAGGAATCGGGACGAGAACCACTGTGGGTACCGGAGAGACTGACACGGGCGACAAAGCCCTCGACTGAAGATCAGACCTGCCCTACCGGAGATCCATCACAGACCAACCAACAAGATGAATAGAAATAGCGGTAGCCCGAAATGGACAAGAAGATCCTCAGGCATATGCATGGCTCGCTCGCCTAGCCTACGACCGAGTCTAGGGACGGTGAGCTTCCCACACTCCTCCTCTAAAAAATTATGACATAGCTGGGTAGGAGAGTCAATGACAGGTAAGAGCGTACTCCCCCGGTGCGACTCAACCTAAGCCAGGCCCTACCCCATTCTGCACGTAAGCCGCTGGACTGTTAGATGCTGCCCAGGTCTAAATTTCTCTCCGAGGGGATTTCTTTACGGAGAGAAAATGAGTGCAAGCTTGTGTGCATCCAGGTTCCGTCCAGTTTGTGCCTGGCCCTAGAAAAAGGACGAGGGCCTCAGGGCCTTGGCGGACCATGGGACGGCCAACCAGGGTCTAAGCCAAGGACCTACGGTGGGCCTACGCATAGGGCATAAGCCTCTGCACCCAGTCCAGGAAGGGCTACGATGCGCACATTCATAAAAAATAAAAAAGGGGGAGATGTTGGGAGCCGCAGCCCCGAGCCCGGTCGCCTCACTTGGCGGACGTGAGGCCTGTAGTAAAGAGTAAAGCCTGAGGTAGATTACCCCTCCCATCGAGCACGTTAGTTTCCTGCTTACCGCGTAAGCAACCCGCTCAACAATATAGTCTGCCTGGCAACTGATGATGTTAGCCAATCAGCTTGCCTTGCTTACTTTAACATGATTGGACACTGTATCCGTATATATACTGGTGCCACCCCTGGGGGGGAAGAAGAAGCCCGGAAGTAGAAGCCCAGAAGGAGCCGCGGGGAGCGGACCAAAGGAGGCTTCGGCTGGGAGCGATCCCAGGGCAGGCTGTACGGAGAAGGAAAATAAAAGAAAAGGTTGTCCACTGCCAGACTTTGTCGTGTGTCCTTCCTGCCGGCCGGGAGCGACATCGACATAAAATAAATGTATTTTATTTTGTATTTAATGTATTTCTATAAAAACAATGTATTTCTATAAAAAAGAACAAATACAGCAAAATGCATTAATCTTTACATCAATGTTGAGAATATGGCGGTATGTCATACTGCCATATTTTTAAACTTGCATAACAAAAAGGTAAAGAAAAACCCACCATCAACAACAATCTGCCTAGGATTTTAATGCCACTGGTCATTCAGCAACCACCAATTTCCTACTCTGATTTGGTAGGACCAAAGATTCTAATCCCAAAGCTGGACTCGAACAGTACCACTTTTCTAAAGTTCCCTGTTTGAAAATATTATAGACAGTTAAGTTATGTAGAAAAAATTATAAGCAGTCAGACAGAGCTCAGCCTTGGAAGAAGTCAGTGCAGGCGGTAAAAACACATTACAACTGTGGCTGGAGGTGCAATCATTGAAAGCCAGGCTTCAAGACAAAGATGAAGTAACTACACCTACATACCTCTCAGAGGGATAAATAATAACGATTAATATTCTAAATAAGCATCAGTCACGGGGTAGGGAACCAAGAACTCCTTGGCCCACAGCTTCCAGGCAAGGTCTTAGGTTCTTTCCAAGTACCCTTCCTATGCAACTTGCTTCCCCATTGGCTCAATGTTATCTAAACCACTAGTAATCTTACTGGTTGATCATAGTTTTGTGCACCTTACTCACCTCATGATTTTGCTTTATAAAACTTCCTTTGAGAAGTAGGCTCATGGGCAACCCACTTTCTAGGTCCCTTTCCATCTCTCTTGGGCAAAAGCTATCTGTCCCTCAATAAATATTTCCTGCTTTTAGGCTCTATAGTTCCCCATTCTTTGATTTTTGGGGCCACAAACTCGGTAAACTGCACAACTAGCAGGTTGGCAGTTACATTTCCCTTGTATCACTTGGAGGTCTTGTATTATTCTGATATCAAAATGACAACTGTTAGAATCCCTAGGAATGGTTTGACACCTGCATCAAAATAAATCTATTTACCTTTAAAAAGGTGGCAAAAATTCCTCAATTTTAAAATGCAATAAAATCACGAGTATATCTTTAAATGAGTAATTACCATACTACTCTAGCTTTAAAAGAGACAATTTAAACAAATTTCTTGCAAAAAATAGTAATTAAGGCCTGATATTTTATTTCATATCAGCAACCTTAATTTCAAGAGGCTTAAAACTGTCCAGCAACACCGATACACTAGATACATTACTCTCGAACACATACTCCACTTCCTCAAACTCAACTTTCGCAACCAATCTTTGCAATCAGAAAGATTTCAAAAATAAAGTCACAGAATGGAACACAGACACGACACAAGCACTACTCTAACATGCTAGTACACTGCGATTTTAAAAATTGTTCTCATCTGCTCCAGGAAAACATTGGCTACACTATACAAGTTGGGAAGACAAAAATTTCTCTTTAAACTTTATAGAACCTACAGAAACGGGGGAGGGGGGAACCTTAAAAATCCAGTTCAGGTTTTCTTTTCCAATTCTAATCCTCTACTTCTGTGATATGCTATCTGTTGGCATTACTAAACCACCTCACATTAGCATGAAAATGGTCTGAAAGTAAAAGGGAGTCACAGAGCTAATTTAACAAATGCACCAGACTTGACAAGAGGGCAGGGGCAGTAACCAATGGTGCTTCCTTCCTCCTGGGTTCCAGGCACTTGCCTCACATACAGTCCAACCCTCCCACTACTCCAAAGGACTGAAAGAATGGGCAACTACTGCCAGGCCATTTCTGCCGACCGGTGCTCCGTAAAAATTCAGCAGCTGGCAGTCTCCAAAGAAAAAGCCTGAGTGCCTTCTCGTAGCACAACTAATTTTAACTAATTTGAAGCTTCCTTGCATGCCAAGACATACCAAAATGTTACAGAAATTAACACACACTCTACCAAAGCCAGCCTTCTTTATAAAGACTAAGGGAACTTAACTTTTCGCAATCTCCACCACACCAGCTTCAACATTAGAAAAACTAGTCCTTAACTGTCAAAGAAAAAATCCATTCTCTCTTAAAGTGTCTCTGCAACTACGAAAACCAAAATCTGTACTTAATCTGAAATCACTCAGCATAAAATGAGAAAGTAATTTCAAATTACACAAGAATAATCGGAGACTTTAAGGAACAATTTATAGCCTCTCCATTTTTAACGCTTTCTTAATTACCCAAACACTCCAAAATGTTCGTGCGACTTCAACAATTAAGCACTAACTTATACAGTTCACTAAACGCACGTTCACACGCACGAAAGAAGAGAAATAGCCTGTCTACAAACTCACTGTGAAGGGGCACTTTTTTGCAAAGTTAACCCACGATATGCAACGAAACGTTCTTTCTGAAAAAAATCTTAAAAGCCAAATAAATTTGCGCGCCTTCCCGAGCAAGGACACTCGGTCCGCATCCAGCCAAGGAAAGGTGACTGTGGACACCGAGAGCAACCGCTGCGCCCTTGGAATGGGGGACGCAAGACTCCAGGAGCGGTGACAGAGCCGACACCCGAGACCCGGCTCCCGGCCCCGCCCTCCCACAGGCTGGGTCAGCCTGGGCTGCGCCCCGCGCACCGCTCACACCTGCCTGCCCCCGCCACCGCTTCCGCCCACCGCGGCCCGGAACCGCGAGCCCTGCCCCGCCACACCCAGCGCCCGGCCCCGCCGGCCCGGCCGACCTTGGCGCCGCCCGTCCCGCCGCACAAAGCGCCGCACTTCCGGCCGCGTGCCCCGCCCCCACTCACCGCGCCGCGCGAGGCGGCCTGGGCCTAGGGCTCCGGCGCGCGCGGCCCCCGGGCGGGCTCGGCCGTGGAGCGAAGCGAGCGGCGAGCGCTGCGGGGGCCGCTCCGAGGCGGGCCTGGATCCTTCGGCCCGCGTCCCCGCCGGCTCCGGGGCGCCGCACTCCCGCTCGTCCGCTTGGCCCGGCCCGCCTCTCCGCAGCCCGCGCTCCGCCGACGCTGCGCCTCCGCCGGGCGGCCCACCTCACTTCCGCCCGGCGCCGCGGCAGGAACGGGCACGTGACGCCGCGTGCGCGGCCCCCAGACGCGCGGGGCCGCCGCCGGTGCCTGGGGCCCGCGCCTCAGACCGCTGTGGGCGGCTGGTAGGAAGCGCGCCGGCGCGACGTTTGTGCGCGCGGGGCCGCGCGGCCGGGCGCGTCGCGATCTCGGGACCCACGCCTGCGGCCGCGCTTCCCCACGGCAGCGAGCGAAGCTCTTGTCGCCGCAGAGCGCCGGTGTCGGGGCGGGCGGAGAGCCAACCCTTACCCGGAATGCTCAGGGCCAGAAGTGGTTTGGAATTGGAATGTTTTTGCTTGGACGCGAGGTATCTTGGGAGTGAGTCCCAAGTTTAAAACAAAAGTAAATTTGCTTCTTGTACACATAAGAGGAAGGTAATTTTATACAACTTTTTAGTAATTTTGTGCTTGGAATAGTTACATGCTGTGGAATTTTCCACTTGTGTCGTCCTGTTATTGTTCAAAAAATTCCGGAGATTTGACAGTCTTGGGTTTAGAATTCAAGGTGTTGCAGTAACAACAAGCCCCCTAAATTTGCGTGTTCGCACAATCTAAAAATTTCTAATTTAAGCATAAGGTCCAGAGAAGTGAGATGACTCAGAATCCTACCAAACAATAAAAGAATTGAGTATGAAGAAAACTTCAGAATGGTATGCAAAATAATCAACAGCTATAATGTACCTAAACAACATACATATAGAAAAGATAAATTTTATGTGGGGTTATTTATGGGAAAAATATAATATCTTTTATGTTTCATATTTTTATATTTATAGCTGTATTCATGTATATTTGTTAAATCTTTTAAAATTTTAACATTTATACCTAGCAATAAATTTTTGTAAGAATTGTGAAAGATCTGCATAAATAAAATGTTAAGTAACCAATAAAGAGCACGAAGGAATACTTCAATATATGGAGGGAAAAAAATCACATGGGTAAGTAGATTTAAAATCAAAAGAGACCAATGTTTCTTAAGTTCTTTCATTAATTTAATAAAATTCCAATAAATTACCAATAATTAATTTTAGCTTGATAAACTGAGTTGATTTTCTGAATGGGGGAAATTAAGAAACATCAAAAGCAAGACTATCTGCCAGGAACTGCTGGAACGGTGGGGGATTGAACCCAGGGCCTCACACTGAGCTACATTACCAGCCCTTTTAAAAAAAGTTTTTATTTAAAGACAGGGTTGGATTGGGGGATGTAGTTCAGTGGCACAGGACCTGCCTGACGAATGTGAGGTACTGAGTTCAGGTCCCATTACCAAAACAGATTACCACTAATTTGTGCAGGCTGGGCTAGCACTAGAGATCCTCCTGCTTTGGGAGGATCTAAACCCAGGAATGTCAAATCTCCCAGAGTGCCAGGTTTACAGGCCTGTACCATCACCCCCCCCCCCCAGTAGAAGTCAGATCTATGAAATGAAACCAGTTATTTGTTACAGCATTGTTTATACAGTGATAGCAAAATACTGAAACAACCCTTGTGTCCTTCAATAGGAAAATGATTGAATAAACTCTGGTTCATCCACATAATAAAATACTGTGTAACTCAAAAATAAAATGAAAAGAAATGAACATTTCTATGTGTCAAAATGGAACTATCTCCAAGGTAGACCATTCAATGGAAGGGGAGAAAAATGAAAAACATAAGACTGCATTAAAGAATATTATCCTTATAGAAAGAAATGTACAAAAAAATTTCAGTTGGCCTACAGGTAATAGTGCATTATTGGATCAAACCTTTTTGAATGTGACCAACATAAAGTTCTCTGCTGTAATTTTCAAACTTTCGTGAAAATTCTTTATGTGGTGTAAACCTGTTGAAGTAGTATGAAGAACTTGGTGCAAATTAATTCTTTATAGAATAATTCAGAAAATACACTGCCCGAATAACATATCCTAATGTATAAATGTAGCATCTATTAGCAGTACATTCTTAAATAATCACATCTCTGGAAAATGTATCTCTGATGTTCACTTTGAAAATTAATGTTGAGGTGACATAATTCTGTATTTTTGTGTAATAGTGTGTCAGTTTTAATGTCAAATTAATTAGCAATAAGATTTTTTTTAACATTTTCTACTATATTAGGTCCATAGGTCAACTGAAATGTATTTCCAATGTGCTAGTAGGCAAAGTATTTTTTGTAAGTTTTTATTATTGGAGTGAATGAGCTACTAAAAGAATTTTGTAATTTTGGAAATTTTCCCACTAACCTGGTGAATTCTGTGTGTATATGTGCATATTCCATGTTTTCTTAAATGGAACATAGGATATTTAAAACTGGATTGTATTTTTTATTACTATGTATATTTTTAAAGAAAATTTTTATACACATGCTAATAACTAGTTGATTAACAAATACTACCTTTTCATTAACTAGGAAGATATCTACATAGACCCCATCATAATCATAGGTCATTTTATAAGCTTCTATGTTCTTTTTTACTGAAGATTATTGTGATAGTATTTATTGAAATTTAAGTGGTCTTTCAAGCACACATTTTACTTTTTTTTTTTTTTTTTTGGTACCAGGGATTGAACTTACTACTGTATGCTTGCTAATTTTTTTTTTTTTTTTTTTTTTTTGTGGTACTGGGTACTGAATTCACAACCTCACACTTGCCAGGCAGGCGCTTATACCACTGAGCTAAATCCCCAGCCCATATCTCTTTTATTTTTATGGTCATTTGTCCTTTCCTCATTATACTAAAAATATACTGATATGATTGTCCCATTTTTTTTAAAGTTACAAGTTAGGTAAAAATCTAGATCATTTTTATAGTTTACATGTCTGTAAATTCTGACTTGCCTGTGAAGGCTTTGGTTTCCATCATCATCCTGGTAACCTGTCAGAATAGGGCCTCCTCTCATTTTAAAATATGTTCAATTTTAAATGATAAATAATATGATCACTCAAACCTTTAAAAATATTGTCTTTTAAAAAGTAGAAATAAAGCTCTGGAATGTAGCTCAGTGGTGCAAGTGTCTGCCTGGAAAGTAAAAGGTCCTGAGTTTGATTCCCAGTACAAAAAAAAGTAGAAATAAAAATAGTTTTATTTACTGAATTTAGAGAGCTTTGTGATAGTTACAAAAATATTGAAAAAACATCCAAAAAGCTAACAGCAATGAGTACCTGTGATGAGATTAGGGAGAGTAGAATCTGAGCAGATGGAAGAGAGGGGTGAAAAAGCCACTTCTCATGTTCATTTTCCTCAAAATTTTGTACCATGTGAATGTATTACCTACCCTAAAATTAAATTCAAAATAAAAAATCTCATGTATTTGTAATGGGAATGCAAAATGGTATAATAACTTTAGAACAAGGTCTTGGTCATTTCTTATAAAACTAAACATGCAACTATCCTAGTACCCTGTAAATTGTACTAAAGAAAAAGAAAATCATCCATCCACACAAGACTTGCACAAAATATTCATAGCAGTTTTATTAGTAGTACCCCAAACTGGAAGGCATCCATACATCTGTCATCAAAAAACAGCTGCATAGCCTCAAAGGGTATGCTGAAGCTGTTTGCAAAAACTCCAGGACAACTTTCTAGGAATTCTGAAAAAGTTTTTAGGGATTTTGCAAGCAATTTAATAGCACTACTATCCTTATCAGCTATATTGTATAAACTTAATTTCAAAACACAGGAATATAGACTCAAAACTCAGCCTTTCCTAGTTATTTTCTCTTAATGTTACTTGTATGCTAAGGTGCCCTTTGCACCTGCTGTGGACAGGCTGTGCAGCTCTGTGTTGCTGATCTTTCCTCCCCTCTGAGTGGTACCATCTTGAAAACCAGAAATTAAGCATGATAGGAACATTTGTCACAGTGGAGTACATCCCATAATGCTAACTAAGTCTCAGGGTTTGCTGGTTTTCTAGACTTTAAAATGTAACGGAGAAAATATTAATAATGCAGATTAAACTTACAAATGAGTGGTGTCTGTGGCAAATAGCCATATTGCAAATAACACAGACATTTAGCACAAAAATTATTTGGAAGGAGAGCCCCTTTTCATAGAAGCCTCAGGAATCTGCTCTCTGGTGTCCTCAGGAGCGGCTGTAGCCCATTAGAAAATGCTTCTGCCTCACCAGGTCTCAACCTTTTCAGAAGTAAACTCTGATCTAAAGTTATCTGTTTATGTCTTTTCTCTAACACTGTTCTTTTCTATTGTGATTGCTTTCTTTCCTTCCCTTCCTTCCTTAGCTTCTTTTCTAGCTTTTGTGGGAGTCATTTTGATAGCAGTAATAGCAGTGATTATATGAAACACTGACAAAAATTACATTCACAAACACGCACAACTGTGTACACTTACATAAGCTCTCTGCCATCACAAGTTTCGCAGTCACACAAGTAGCCAGCATTTGGGTCATAACTCAGATTTGGACATAAACCCAAAATTCCAGTCAAAAATGAAGTTGTTGGCAGGTGAGATAACTTGAGGTGGTAACTTGAGGATCCACTGTGTTAAAAAAAAAAAAAAAAAAAACTGAAACCTTGGGCTAGAGGTGTAACTCGGTGGGTAGAGCATTTATTTAGCATGCAGGATTCCTTGGGTTTGGTCTTCACCATACACACACATACATATACACACATAAAATTTTCTGAATCCCCCAAAAATGTTGCTCATACCATTGACAGACAAGTGAAGTTTTAACATAATTATTTCACTTATTACTAGTTAACATAAAGGAAAATGTTAATTATATTGAAGCAGGATTTAAAGAGCAATCCACCTTGAATTCCTCTCCTCCTCTGTAGTTATAATTTCTTGTTCTGGTACAGATAAGATTGGCCACTATGTCCTGTAAATAGAGTTTGTGTCATCTGTTCTTGCAGAATTCATGTAATTGTTTTGTCTTGTTTCTGTACCCTAATTTGCTCTCCTCACCCCATTTATAAAGACCAACTCTCTCAGACAAATGTATAAAACTAGAAATTTTCCTTTGTTCTAATGCCCAACACTTAGGATGTGAGTTTGGCTGGATGATGGTCCACATGCATCTAAAATCCTGGAAATAAATCCACCTGTTATTCCCCATTGGTCTCTCTGAACTCTTGGATACTGCAGCGTTTCTGGTGACCATGAAGGGGCCAGAAATGACAGATTTGCTGTCTCCTTTGCCTGCAGGCCCAAGAGGAGCTCAAGCTGCAAGAATTCTAAGACCTCTGGTACCACTGGTTGAAACTTCAGCTCAGAGAAGAAATCAGCCCTCTCACAACCCAGGAAACTCTCCTCTGTCAGTACAAATGGAACCTGTGGAGATTCAGGACAATTCTGGAACAACTGCTCACATGGTAAAGTTTTAGGGGCCCAAGGAGGAAAACTCATTCCATTAGGACACAAGGGAAGCCTGATCACCTCCCAGGGTATACTTGGTAATCTGCTGTGGGTTGGGTCAGATAACACCTAGAACCCCAAGTGAATGTGGAGGAGGCCTATGGTGAGAATTGCTCTCTAATAACTTGCAAGACAGGCCCACAATGAGAGCAGATCATACAGAGGGGTATGGAACACAGCCAGACTCAGAGGGTGTCTAAGGAAACCTATGCCCTAAGTAGGGAATGTGGGAGTGGCCCGCAGAGGGAGCAGGCTACAATGGGAAGGGTAAAAGAATCCAGCACCTGGATGAAAACAACTAGTAAAGGAGAGGTATACGTGTGTGTGTGTGTGTGTGTGTGTGTGTGTGTGTAGAATGAAATGTGCAAATCTAAAGGGATGAGGAAAATATATAATTGTGTGTGAGTGAGTGAAGCAAAGTGTGTGAAGTTGCCTGGGCTCATCTGGGGACTTGGGGGAGGGAGGCAGTCTAATCAGTCTGAAAAAAAAGTGATAAAGAAAATGATTTGAGTTGTAACAGGCAAAGACATGAAAAAGCTGCTTAGATTTAGTGTGCTGAGATACACAGGTAGGGTGCCACTTGCAGACTGATAGAGGAAAAAAAAGGAGAACCCTGTGTGCCATGTACCAGGACAGGTCTCAGTGTTCCTGGGGAAGGACAGTGAGAGGATGGGAAAGTAGAGACAAAAGCTATCCGGAGGAGCTGTCTCTCCTGGTGGGAGAAATGGAGTTGCTCAACCCCCATGTTTATTTATACACTCAGGAGGATGATATCAAGCTCAGCTCCTCTGCCGACCAACTTGCTTGTCTGGCTGGCCTGGGTACCTTGCCTTTTTGGAACTGGAATTATTTATTTCAGTGGCTCACTTTGGGCTGTCTGTTTTCTCACGGCTGACCTTGCATTAGCTCCAAATATGTGATCAATCTTTAGCTTCAGCTGCTTCCTGTATGTCTCCCTTTTGTTTTGTAGTTGCAAATGATGGGTGCACTGCTATTACTGCTATCAAACGCTTCACTCACTCACACACAATTATATATTTTCCTCATCCCTTTAGATTTGCACATTTCATTCTCCAATCCTGCAAATGATGGGTGGTCAACTGAAGTTAGAGCAGTTGTGTTTGGAAAACTCTGTAGAAGACCTTTTCATTTCCTTTTCATTTTGAGTGAGCTTACTCTTTTAAGCTAAAGACTTTTTGGTTCAAGGATATTAAGTCTGTGCATTCTGTAATTTAACCCTGTACAGTCCATTAATCCATAACAGTACCCCAATTACCAGTATAGTTAGCAATTGTTACGAAGTGTTATTTAGTGATTTCAGATTCTTTTATAACTAACATATAACTTTGTTTTATGCATTTTTCTATGGGATGCCCCAAGACCAAGTTAAAGTGAGACCTGTATTAATTAAAATTAATCTCTTACTATCCATCAAGGTCAGTTAAGTCTCCTTAGGAATTGCCTCAGGAAATGCACAGCACCTTGTAGTGCTGCTGTCAGTGTCAGCCATCTGGATGAGTCACAGCCATTGCTTGACCAAGTTGCTATCTATGAACATTTGGGAGACTTTTTGTCTCTTAATGACTCTACTTAGGCACACTACATATCATTGGTCACTTTCCTCTGTGGTCCCATATGTCCTTGGCCAGAAGACCTGGGACTCAACCAAGTTGTAGGATGTCACAGAAGAGATTTTCTTATATCCTGGGTCCTCACTGACCTCAAAAAGCTGAGGCCAAAATATTGGCTGTTTTCTTAGCCCATGTATCTTTAAATAGTTCTTTGGTCTCCAATCCTCAGTTGTTCAACATTCAGAAAAAAAAGCTGATAACGGTACAGCATAGTAGAGGTCAAACCATGAATGTTTTAACATTTGAATACCTATGGAATGTTAACAGTTACATATTTTACATGGAAAATTAGAAATCAAAACTAGGGGCTGGGGATTTAGCTCAGCGGCATAAGTGCCTGCCTTGCAAGCAGGCAGTCATGAGTTCGATCCCTGGTACTGATAAAAACGAAAAAGCCAAAAAAAAAAAAAAAAAAAGAAAGAAAGAAATAAAAATTATATACAACATTATAGCATGAAAATTATGATGACATTTTGTAACACACCTGAATTTCCATTGACATAACATATCTCTTTTATTAGTCTTCCCTAATATATAAGAAGCTTTTACCTAATTTTTTGACCTGTAGTGTGCTATACACACATGGATTTTTGTTAAAGACAGAGATCTGAATTTGAAAGAAAAGTCTGTCACCATAAACAACCCCTGCATTAAATTTTGGAAGACCTGTACATCTGGATGAATGAATACATTTGATATACCATCAGGTTAGTAACAGTCAATTGTCACAACTGTATGAAAACCTTTGTATCAGATAATCTTTAAATAAAAAACCTTATAGTCTGGAAAATTTAATGCTTTTGATGATGGCCAATGAAAACATATCACAATAATATATTTTTAATAACAATATAACAATAATAACTATTGGGATAGTTCCCATAAGGCTATGCAGATCACTGGGGCCTCCCTTAATGAATAAGAACTGATTAAAGTTATTCCAGGCAACTAATTTTTATTCATCAATTGGAGTGCTGTCCAATAATCTCCTCCCACTGTAAGGGACTTTGTTTAATATCATATATATATTTTTTGGGGGGGTACTAGGGGTCGAACTTACAACCTAGCGCTTACCAGGCAGGTGCTCATGTCACAGAGCTAAACCCTCAGCAATATCTTAAGTTTTTGATGAGTTATGAAAACCCAATTTTGATATCATTTAGACCAGCTGGCAACCCAGGTGGAAGTATACTTTTTAAATATATAACCCAAGCTAAATTATGAACCGATGATCCTCCAAAAATACAAAAGAAATAAAGAAAAGAGAAAAATTGTTAAGATCAAATAAAAAACAGCTGTTAACTTCTTTGACAAAGGGACAAGTAAACAAGTACACAGGTTAACATAATGAACAGAGAAACAGCTGACATGAACATAATGTCAACATAGTGAACAAACAGCTGACAAAATCAGAGTGCATGCACATGTTTTTGACCAAATTGAATTAACTTTTTATGATTGTACAATCTATAACTATAAATGGGCTAGTCAGATTTTGTTGTAGATCAGTTAGCAGAGATCTTGTAAAAAGAACTTGGGACCAAACTCTTTCATATATGATCAGTATATAGTTTTGTATTTTATTTTGTCTTAAGAATACTGATAACTTTTGTGTCTCCTTTTTCATGCAACTTTCACCTTTGTTATCTCCAAGCACTCTACCACCTATTCATGTCCTTGACTTCTGTTTTTGGTTACCATCTTCTGACCTTTCAGGGTCATTCCTTCAATTTGCTCCAGGTCTGGTCTAGCCCCATCCTGCTCTATTAGTTGTAGAGTGGTCTTTAAAGCATCACTGTCATAGGATTGGGCATTAGCTCCTTTTTTTTTTTTTTAATTTTTGAGATAGTGTTTCAATATGTGTTCAAACTGGCGTTGGGATCACTTTGTACCCCAGGCTAGTCCCTAACTTGCAATGATCCTCCTTTCTCAGCCTCCAAGTGCTTGGAAAACAAGCATGCACCACCATGCCTAGATTGAGCATCAGCTTCTTGAAAGGGAGAATAAACTCCTTTTCTGGACCTGGGTTCAAGATCCAGCCAGACAGCATGCTCTGGTACCCATATAGGCCAGTCACTGTTCTCTGGAGAGACACAAGAACACCCCTGATCCCAAATTAGCATTGCACTGGGTTCATTTCACAGTCCATTATGAGGATCTTTCCAAAGAATCCTTCCTAGCTTTTTTTTTTTTTTACCTGATTAAATTGTCTTTCTGCTGCTGTAGTCTCAACCCTAGTAAGATTTTAAAAGTTAATAGTATGTACTGCCAACTGAAGTCTATTATGAGGTATAAATTTTGTAGGGGAAAATTTCCCCTTCCTCCACCACCTTTGTTTTTGTAATTGAATTTTGAGCATATAGTGCGAATGTTTAACAATTTTTGACCTTGAGAGTTATAAGGAATTCTTATGGTAAGGAACATCTGAAAAGTTTCATAAGACATTTGGAAAGGAGCACTTGCATAGCTGGGCCATTGTCAGTCTTAAGTACTCACAGGCAACCAAGAGCACCAAAAGCATCTAAACAATGAGCCATGACATTTTTAGCTACTTTACCAGTGTGAACACAAACAAAAATAAATCCTGACACCCAGCTTAAAGAATCAAATTGAGGAATGTGAATGATATCCATTTGCCAGAGATTAACCCCTGCAGAGAGTAAGGGAAGATATATTATGCATAAGGAACATTGTTTAACAATTTGTCAAGCTTGTTCTTGGGTTAAAAGGAACTGTTGTCATAAGGCAGAAGCATTTTGATGGCAGGTAGCATGGAAGACAGAAGCCTGTTGAGTAGTGTCTGAGGAAGTATTTCATGGTAGTGGAAGACAGCAAAAGTAAAAAGAGCAAAGAAGAGAAAGTATAAGCCTCCTTATTTCCTCTACACTGTAAGCAGGCTACCCCCTAGTGTGGGTGTAGCAAGCACACCATCTCTGTGCCCTTCTCTTGCACAGGATAAGGATGCTTAGAAAGTGAGGATCCTGCCCCCTCCTCCAAGGAGTCACTCAGTCAAGCTTCTAAACTTCAAAATGACACAATGCATCAACCATTCCAACCTTGTCAACTTGGTAACTAGACATATATTTAAAAAATACCAGTTTCTGGCCAAGGATTTAGCTCAGTGATGTAAGTGTCTGCCTGGCAAGCACAAGGTCATAAGTTTGATCCCCAGTACAAAATATATCAGTTTCCAGATACAAAAACATGTTTATTTTTATCATTTCACAGCTTGACCATCATAACACAGGTTTAAAAATTCTTAAGAACCAGTATTAAACAGGTTTAAAAATTTTTAAGAACCAGTATTAAATCTGTCAACATGATATTACATTAGAACCATAACACTGGACCGGAGATTTAGCTCAGCAGCCCAAGCACCTGCCCCACAAGCATGATGCTTTGAGTTTAATCCCCGTACAAAAAATTTTTTTTAAAAAGGAACCATAACATTTTGCCCTTGCAACTGAAACAAGCAACATTGTCACCGTTTTTTCTCCCACATCCTTTGTCCAGACCAACTCCAGGCTATGTGCAGCTATTTGGCTCCCTCCTCTCCCTGGAGGCATATAAGAAGCAGTAAAAGGAGCAGAAAGCTGCCTTTAAAAGTCTGTAGTGCTCTAGATAGAATTGTGCTGGTTTTATTTTTTTCCTAGTCTTGTTCTAAGTTGCTTTTTTCCCACTTTATCCTGTTTATAAATATAAACTTATTTTTTCTTATGGAAACAAACTCAAGAAATTTAGCAAGCTGTGTAATATCAGTGTATTAAAAACTAAAAATTGACGTAAGAAAGCAAAAAATCCTAAATAAATGTACAGTTATATTGATCATGAATTTGAAGTAAGTACTCCTGAAGTAAATAACAAATTTAAAAAACAGAGTTTGAAAATTTACACTATCTAATATCAAGACTAAGGACAGGGGATTTAGCTAGGTAGCATAAGCTGAAAGGTTTTGGCCCAGACAGGACACTGTAGCCAGGAAAGCCACAACTGGAAGCAGGAAGCCCCATCTTGCCCTGCCCCTAGGAAGTTACCTGTGACGCCATCTTCCCGCCCCTGGGAATTTACATATGGCGCCAAACCTAGGACCAATGGGCTACCTGTGTATCCCTAATGCCCGCCTTAGGTTCCACCCCAAACCGAGGCTATTTACAGGCCCCCACGCCATGTGTCCACCGGAGAGATGGCCAGACGCCAGCAGTGGGGGTGCCAGTCATCTCTCTCTGTGTTCTCAGAATAAAGGCCGCTTTTTATTTTATATTTCTCATCTTTTGTTAATATTTTTCATCTTTTGGAAATAACTCTATCAAAGCACTTTCCTGGCAAGTGCAAAGTCATGAGTTTGATCCCTGGCACCAAAAGAAAACAAAAGTTGATTAAATTTAATATCAAGACTTACTCCAAAACCATTGTCAGACAGTGATATGCTGGAGCCAGCCTATTACCAACTCATGAAAGCCAGATGCTGAATTTTTAGAAGTTTTTCTGGGAATTTAGCTCAGTGGTATAAACACCTGCCTGGCAAGCTTGTGAGTTCAATTCCTGGTACAGGTGGAGGAGAAGGAGGGGGAGGGGAGGGGGAGGCGGAGGCGGAGGTGGAGGTGGAGGAGGAGGAGGAGGAGGAGGAGCAGGAGGAGGAGGATGTAATAACTCGGACCCTGGTATAAAACCAAGGAAGCAAGAGACTGAAATTTGGGAAGCAAAGGCTTTATTAGACCAGGCCTGTTGACGAGTCTCCGGGAGCCAGTTTGGAGACTGTGTGCCAGAGACTGAAGGGAGGAATTTAAAAAGAGCCTGGAGGAAAAGGGCGGGGGGCAAAGAAACCTGCAGAGCTATCAAACTTGTTGACCCGAATCTGGAAACTATATAGCTGTCCACTTAGTTCTGACAACCTCGGGAGCCTTTGGCGCCTTTTGAGTTACTCCTATCCTGCAGATAAAAATTATCTGCAATAACATTTGGAGAAGAAAGTAGAAAGCTAATTATCTCAGGACAGCACCTTAACACTAACAGGTGGGAAGGGGTCGAAAGTTACAAGAAGCTGAAGCTTAAGCCTTCACAAGGATTTGGAACTTAACCCTTTTGGTGCATTAGGGTTAAGACACAACATTTTCCTGTAATTTCTTTGAAGCTAAGGCACATTTTATGACAGACCACCACCGGGTCAGGAAGAGGTCACCAGAAACCCAAAATCTTTATGGCCTAGCCTAGATAGATAGGTAAGGGGAGAGGGGAGGCAATAAGGTGCCATACAGAACAGAAAATGGTGGTTATGTTTTTCTTTCTTTCTGGGGAGGGGGATCAAGGTCAGGTAAAGGATTATGCTAATAAGCAAATCTCCCTGCACACAAGCAAGTTACTTCAAACAAGTGTAAATTAGAGGGCCATCCTAGTTTTCTTTAGCTCTTTAGTGGAGAATAGAGGTGCCTAACAGTGATTAACAACCCTTGTTAGCTTGTTTTAGCACAACTTCTGTTATGTAGAGGGCAACAATGGTTAACATATCAATTAGGTAAGGTTTTACAATTCTTTACAGAGAAGAGCACTGATTAACATATCAATTAGGTCATCCAAAGACATAAGAAGGAAAACACATACAGTAAGCCCCTGTTACAGGTTTTGTTATAATATGCATAACGAAGCTATTTTCTTAGAGTACAACAGAGGAGGAGGAGAAGTTGTTGTTTTACAGGTTGGTTGTTGTCATATTGGTTATTTGAAATTGTCTTTTGTGAGTTTTTGTTTGTTTGTTTTGTTTGTTTTGGGATGAGGGATTAAACTCATGACTGAAAGGGTTTTGGCCCAGACAGGACACTGTAGCCGGTGAAGCCTTAAAGGTGGAACCAAGGAGCTCCCATCTCCCCCACCCCTAGGAATTTACCTGTGATTCCATCTTCCCCGCCCCCTAGGAATCTACCTATGGCGCCAAACTAGGACCAATGGGTTACCCATGTATCCCTGATGCCCCTTTAGGTTCCACCCCAAACTGGGGCCACGTGTCTGCCAGAGAGAAAGCCGGACTCCAGGGGTCAGGGGTTTTGGTTTTCTCTCTCTGTATTCTCAGAACAAAGGCCTCTTTTGTTTTATACTTCTCATCTTTTGGATATAATCTTATCAATGACCTCGTCATTGCCAGGCAAGCACTTAATGCCACTGAGCTAAATCCCTGGCCCAGTGAGATTATTTTTTAAGTGAAAAACAGCAAACCACAAATTGGAACCACACTATTGTGGACCACACTATGTCCCAACCACCAGGAGCCAGCCAGGCCAAGCAGGGACATGCCATCTCAGGGAGGCTGTCCAAGCTGCAGTATCCCTCATGTGTGGCAGGTCCCACTGGGAATTTTGTGGAATGGGTCTACCTTCCATGTTATTTTTGGATTTACCCTCATTTGCCCAGTGGTACCCTTGTCTACACTTTAGACAGTTAGTAGGTTTTGTTGAAAGGACAGATAGTGGCTATGCTGCCCCTACAGGTGCAGCAGAGCAATTTTTGTCAAAATGCCCCCTGCCTTTGCAGCTGAAACAAGTAACTCTTGTTTTTTCTTTTTCCTTTATTTTGCAGATGACTAACCCCAGTGATAGTTGCTGCCAAAGTAGCCCCCTACACATATGAGGGGCCAATGCCTCATTAATTTGAATCATTTCAGCCAGTGTAGCCAATTTGTTTAGAGCTGTTAAAGCCTTTTCACATTATTTATTTGTGTTTTTGAAGGTCAATTGTTGAACAATTAAAGGATGACTCTCTTTTATGAAGGGTATGATGTAGCAAAATTTCCCTGAACTGAGAAGGCAAGAATTGCTGCTTGAGGCTCAGTTATGGTTACCAGGGTGGTTATTGTTCTACCATCTTTCTCCCACTTGGGACTTGATTTTAAAATAGTGCCCAGAGGAGCGGAAGATTTAGCTCAGTGGTGTAAATGCCTGCCTGACAAGTGGGAGCTCATGATTTTGATCCTTAGTACCAAAAAAAAAAAAAAAAAAAAAAAAAATAGTGCTCAGAGCCAAATCCTTTGTGATCATTCCAAAAACTTAGAACTATTAAAGCACTCACTAATGCAAATGCACAAAAATAAATACCAAAGTCAAGAATATAACAAACAGTTCCATATACATTTGTGGTTCTTGGGATCTTGTTTGCCTCATGTTTAACAACTGGTAAAATCAATGCATATTTTTCCCTTTTGCTTCTTGTCCTCCAATTTCTCCAAAGTCTTTTTATCTTTTTGCCTTCTCTTCAGCGTATTTTTCTTCTTTGGTTGTAGCGAGCCCACTTTTTACACCAAGTTTAACACATAGTGATGTCAATTTCAGTTCACCCCAAGGATGAATACTGACCACTAACAATGACCTTATCCCCCTTTTTGTAAACTGATGAGAAATGTTCTCTTACCCACTATTTCTTCACACCCTTTGTTCCTATTTGGGTGCCATATGCCACATACCTGCAGTGTTCCCAGGGGGAAGGATGGGAAGAGTATGGGAAAATACAGAAAAGAGGTGAAAGCTGAGGTCAAGTGGAGCTGGCTCTCCTGATGAGAGAATGAAACTGTTCAACCACCATAGCATGTTGATTTATACACTCAAGAGGAAGAAGATGTCAAGTTCAACCCCTCTGCCTAGCAACTGGTTTTCCTGGCTGGCCTGAGTGCCTTGCCTTTTTGGAGCTGGAACATGAAAGGAGGAGACAAAAACCCCAATGAATAGAGCAGACAGAAGCCCAAACGCAATAAGCACAACAGGCTAAGCAGTTGTGGAGACAAATAAAGAAAAGCGCCAGCACTAGACTCAAGTAGAGACAAAACTGGTCTTGTACATAAAAAATAAAGGTGAGACAACTAAAAAACCAAAAAACAAAACCAGAGAGCTCTATAGTTTCTGGAGAAACTGCAACTATATGCCTGGGAGACAGAGAGGTGACTTTGATAGAGACAGAGCAAACACACAAAGTACAGTGATGCTAGAGACAGCACAGTGAAACACGGAGGCAACACTGATCCGGCCTGCAAATCAATCCGTGGGGTGTACCTGGAGGCAGAACGGGGATTAAATAAAGACAGAGGGGAGACAAAGAGAGATGGAAGCAAGTTGAGAGAATCCGATCAAGCCTCCAGTTTATTCCGGAAGTGATTACATCTTTTATAGGCCAAGGGCGGGAGGTGGGACAGGAAGAGGCTACAGGAGTGAATACAACAGGGTCATCGTTACATCCGGGTATGTGACATAAGCAGGAGAGGATTATGGTTAATGTAGGCAGATGCAGTGCCCATAGGAGAGAGAGAGGCAGGGAGGCAGCAATGGGCTGTCGCTCGGCTCCCTACATCTCCTCCCTTTCTATATTATTTAATCAGGAGTGTGGCAGGCCCTGCCTTGACCTCTTAGGTCAAGGACCTCATTGCATGAACCCAACCAGGCCTTACCCGTCATGGGCTTGCAGAACAGCAGTTGGTCCTGTGCCTCTCTTAGGTGGCTGTTGGAATTAACATGTATGTCCTAGTTGCCCATCTCTTGCTGCCTGTCCATTGCCTCAGGGCAGTTAGGCCGCATCATCATATGGGCCACTCATGGGAATTCCTTCCCGATAGGTTTGTTGATCTGCCATCTCCAGCTGATGATAGTGTACCTGAATGGGCTTTGCCATAAACACATCTATCTGGTTATTAATGAGCGTCATAATCCTCTGAAAAATACAAGGACTCACAGAAAGGAGAAGCAATAGGGCAACTAGGGGACCCAAAAGGGGCACTAGGTAAGGGAACCCCCCCCACACACACACACAAATCGAGGAGAAGGGGTTGATAGCCATTTGTTGGTGTCTCTGTTGAAGTCATTCTCCTATGTCTTGGAGCTTGCCTCGCATAACACTGGATGCAGTCTTTTTGGCTGGTTTATGTTCCTCCAGACCGAGAAGAGCTTCCTCCGCAGTCACAGGTGGTTCTGTGTATGGCTGTCAGCAGTTGTAGTCTGTTTGGTAGGGGTCTAAATCCACCATGGGTGTGGTACGGCTCAAGGAGAAGGCTGAGTAGGCAGTATAAGGCTCCAGGGGTTGTCACCTGTAAGAGAACACAGAGGATTGTGCCTCAGGAAATGACATTATTCCTGGGCGTTGCATGGGGTCTTTGAAGAACTGTCCACTTGTTTTACAAGGCACTCAGGTATCCATCTAGCCTCTCTATCTTGTTGAGAGTAAACACATACTGAACCACGTCCCCATATGAGAACGGGGTCAGGGCCATGCCATGAATTAGTCAGGGGGTCTCTCTATAGTATAGAAGCAAATTGCTTTTGTGTTTTAGAATGCCAAAAACACATGGCTGCTGACTGTCCAGAAGCATCCAAATTTAAAAAATTAAGGATGAATAAGGCATGAGATAGAATATTTTTAGGTGTCCTTCTTGTGGAGTACCATTTCCCCTTTTTATTTTATCAACAGTGAGTTTTAGGAAAAGATGTTCCCTTTTAACTATGCCTTGACCTTGAGGGTTATAAGGTATGCCTTTTATATGATCAATATTAAGATGTTGACAGAAATGAGCAAAGGCAGAACTAGCATAGTCTCGATCATTATCAGTCTTTAATTGTTGTGGGCATCTCAGAACTGATAAGGTAGTTAACATATGGCTAATAATGTTTGGTAGCTCTGCCAGTCTGGGAAGAGGTATAAATGAAACCACTAAAGATATTTATAGTTACATGAACATATTTAAGATTGCCAAACTCAGGAATGTGGGTGACATCCATTTGCCATAATGCATTGAGGATAAGTCCTCTAGGATTAACCTCAAAGTGTGGAATTGGGAGGTGCATGGCACAAGAAAGGCAATTTTTTACTGGCTTGTTTTCTAGTGATCTTAATACAGAATTACAGAAAAACAAATGGTAAGAAATCAACAGTTAATAAGTTACATATTGTCATCTTAGAAATAGCTGTTTAGATTACAAAATCAAAGCATGTAAAGTGACATTCAAACAATGACATTGCCAACAGTTCTGCTCAATGATCCAACAAAAACTTAGTAATATGGTTATCAGTCCTACACACTTGTTTGTTATCTCAAAGAGGGCAAGACCAAACTTACCAAAACAGAACAAAACTGTTTAAAAAAAGATTTAAAGAAATACAGATTTTAAAGCAAGTCTACTGGAGATCTTTACTGTTTATCTAATTGTCTCTAGTTTCCTCCAAACATTTGTCTCCACCTTTATGCACATTAAATACACCATGCATGTTATAGAACCAATCAAATCATTACAGGATGATGAAGGCTTCTCAGGTTTTTAAGATCTGACATTGAGGAAGACAATAATAACTACCATAATGTCTCTCATTCTCCTTTCAGCAGCTGTCCCCATCCTTACATATGCTGAAATTAAACTTAAGAGACTAGACCAATATCACTCCAATCAGTTAAATGAGTCAAAGTAATTGACATTGGAATCTCCACCTCTGGAGTCTTTTCTGTAAAATGACCAGTTTCTCCATGGCAAAACAGTCCTGTTCATGCTTTTGAGACAAACACTGTCCAACTGCAAACCCCTTCAAGGCAACAGCCACAGCAAAGATGTATATATCCTGTTAGGCCTGTTTTATTTTTACAAGGTCTGATAGCAGCCTGGCAGACGGTGCCGGTGCCTTTAAAAACCAGCTGTTTAACAAAATCAGTGCCTGCATCAGCGCGGCTAAAGACTCCGCTAGCAGCAGCAATCAAACAATCAACAAACTCTGAAAAGCGTTTATCTGGGCCTTGCTTAATGCTAGTGAGAGAGGAGATCATATTATCTTTTGCAGGTAGTTTTTTCCATGTTTGAGTAGCTGCTGTTTGAATTTGAGTGAAAAGTGTTGGATTAAACTCTTTTTGAGCTTCTCTGCAAGCATAGGCATCTTTTACTATTAACATAGTAAGGTCCCATCCATTGCCAGCTTCTGTATTGTGCCTGGTGGTCTTTTTGCAATTTTTTGTATATTTTGATTTTTACAAAAGATTATCCCCACCCAATAAAGTCACTCGGGCCAATCTTTGCCAATCTGTAGGTGTGAGCTAGCCGTCAGCCGGAGAATTTAAAACAGCAAGAATGAAAGCGGCTGTAAGGCCATATTGGGCAACCACTGTCCTTAATTCTTTTAAAGTTGCCACTTTGAATGGCATATGAGTCCTAATGACTCGTGGAGCTAGTGGCGTGGTGCTCATGCCATCTTGCAGCTGTGTGGCACCATCTTGGGGAGGTATGTTTGTTTCCGCCACTGGAAACGCCATTTCAGGGAGGGACCCATGCTGATGTGTTGGAAGTGAGGCAAGCGCCATTTTAAGAGAGCCACGAGGCTTGCCGGAGTCAGGCGCTATCTTAGGAGCACTATAAGGCCTTGTGCGACTGTCTCCTCAATCTGAGGATCTGCATGCCTCTGGGCAAGCAGCTCAGAGATTAAATTCCAATATGCAAAGGTGGTCACTGGAACCATTTTTGGACTGAAAACTCTATAATAATCTTTTAAAGCATCTCTTACTCTATTCCACCTCTTGGTATCTATAGAACCCTCTAGGGAAAACCTTATGAATAAATTGAAAATATTGCAATAATACTTTTGTTCTAACTTTTACCCCTCTTGTCTTTCATGCCTTTATAAGGCTTCCCACAAACACTTTGTGTTCATTCAATGCTTGACCCATGTCTGGGAAAGGGAATGGGGTCGCTGTTCACTCACCATGACTCGGGCAGGATGTTGGGTAGTCGTTTGCACAGGCCTCGGTACTTGATTTAATGTCCTGTTGCTTTTAGCTTTAATCCTTGATTTAGTTTGCTCACTCCTCGCCACGGTCTTTGGTTCAATTTGCTTTCACTTTCAGCCGGCTTTCTTAAACGGCTCCCTGGTTGACTCCTCTGTGCCAGGAGCCCCCACGCTGAGCGGCACTTGATCCAGCCTGCGGATCAGTCTGTGGGGTGTACCTGGAGGCGGAACGGGGATTAAATAAAGACATAGGGGAGACAAAGAGAGATGGAAGCAAGTCGAGAGAATCCGATCAAGCCCCCCCCCCCCCCCCCGTTTATTCCGAAAGTGATCATATCTTTTATAGGCCAAGTGTGGGAGGTGGGACAGGAAGAGGCTATGGGGATGAATACAACAGGGTCACTGTCACATCCGGGTATGTGACGTAAGCCGGAGAGGATTATGGTTAATGTAGGCAGATGCAGTGCCCATAGGAGAGAGAGAGGCAGGGAGGCAGCAATGGGCTGTCGCTCAGCTCTCTACACAACACAACAAGGCAAGTGTGCCTCCTTTGCAAAATGTCTATACAGCTAAATCACACCCTGGAGGAAAAACATGTAACAGTGGCCCAGCTGTGGGGGAAAAGAAAGCAACAGCCTCAGCAGCAGACAAAAGCTAAGCTCACTCATGAGAACGCTGAAAAGGGATTAGAATGCAGACAACTAAAGGCTAATGAGACACTGAGGCTATGGATACAAACAGAGGAGATAACACAGTAGTAAAGCTTGACACAGGCTAAAGGCAAGAAAAAAAGGAAGTTCTATTCAGATAAACCACCAAAGGGTAGATAAAGGAGCTTCTCATCTGGAAAGCTAACCGGGGAAAAAAACATTTAGGCAAATCAAAGAGGCCACAAATCAGGTCCCAGCCTTAGGACAGGTATAACTTCTTATGTGTCCACAAAAAACAAACAAAATATCCATTAGAAGCCTTAACCCAGGTCTTGGGTCCTTACATTGTCTGATGGTATACTTGTCAAAAGAGTTAGACTCTCTAGCCTAAGTTGGCCTCCATGCTTTAGGGAACTTGCTGCCACCACCTTGTTGGTGCAGCAGGCTAAGAAGTTAAAGTAGGGGCCATAACTGACTATTCAGACACCACGCTCAGTTATAACCTTAATGGACCAGAGAGGATGCCACTGGTCGTCAAATTCAAGAATGACTTTGTAGTGGGGGCTCTTATGCAAAAATTCTTGCATAATTCTAGAGACAATAAACACCCTTAATCCACCCACCTTGTTCATAGTTGAACTGGGAGCCCCCTCTACATGACTGTGTGGTTATGCTAAAAAGGGTCCATCAAATGAGATAGGCAGTGGTAACTGCAGACTCTATAATTAAGGCCCAACCTGTGCCTGTCAGAACCTCAGCTCAGCAGGCAGAGCTAATGGCCTTGACAAAGGCTCTTTTACTGGCAAAGAGCAAAAATGTTAATATCTATACTGACTCTAAATATGAAAAAGAGAACTCCAGATGACTGGGACAAAAGAGTCAAAGTATAAAAAAACAAAAAGATTTTACAGTTCCTAGATGCTATATAGGCTCCAAGGGAAATGGCTGTTATTCACCACAGGGTGCACCATGGGTCTGGATCAATAGAAACCAGAGGAAACCAAAAGACAGACAGAGAAGCAAAATGGGCTATAAGGATAGCCCCACAAAGTGACTGTTCCCTCATCCTGGAAGGCATCTAGCTACACCCATCACCCCAGAGCTTCCTCTCCCAGAGATTCCAAATTACTCTCCAAATAATAAAAACATGATCTGCCCAGGAAACTGAAAATTACAAAAAGGATAATAAAAATTCTGTCTCTTAATTCTGCCTATCTCTAAAATAATGGCTACTTGATTTTATTTTAAAGAGGGTAAAATTAAACATAACAAAGCAGAACAAAATAGATCATAAGAAAACAATTTAAGAAACAGTTTTCAAAGCAAGACCACTGGAGATCTTCACTGTCTATCATATTGTCTCTTGTTTTCTTCCAAATAGTTGTCCATAGCTTCACACACAGTAAATTCATACCAAACAATAGATCAGAACAGGATGATGAAGGCATTTTAGGTCTTCAAGACCAGACAATAGGGAAGTCAACAATAGCTGCCATAATGTCTCTTATTCTCTTCAAAATAGTTGTCCATATCTTTATGTATGTTGAAATTAAATAAAAGAAAACAGACGAATATCACTCTGAACAGAGAAATAATAGTATTGCTCATATATCAGGAAATGAGGAAATAATAGTATTTCCTCATATATCACTCTGAACAGAGAAATAATAGTATCATGACACTACGGAACTAGCGCTGGGTATCTCTCTTTCTTCAGACTCTCTGTTTATTATATAATCAATTCTCGTAAACCATTTAGAAGTTCTCTGCATGCATGAATCTCTACATGTATACCTATCCTTCCTGTATTAGAGGGGAAAACAAATCAAAACAAGACAACAAAACGAATTCCTAGAAAAGCACGAAATGAAAAAGACATACAAAAGCACAATACTAAGTGATCTACAGTAGTTACTATGATGTCTATTGTTCTTTTCAATAGTATTACCTATATCATCAGGCATAGTATAGTTGAAAATAGCAGTACATAGCAATATTAATAAAAAAATTGGAGACATTATAGGGCTTAAAAAGCAGTTAATAATCAAACCAGAATGGGTATCCTATTGACTCTTGTCATCTTCAGAGTAGTTGCCTCTACTCTCAGATTTGATATTATCAAGCATACCAGATTTGAATAAAATCAATCAGGACAAAACAGTGATCTAACAAACCAGATTCAAATAAGATCAGTCATAGTAAGACAGTGTAAGTAATACAGGGCTTCAGTTTAAGTTAATAGGAAATTAAGGATAGTTACCATAGTATATTATGCTGTTTTGGGGATTGCTGTCTGTGCCCTCAAATCTAGTATGAGGAGACAGACTGGAACAGAATAAAATCAAACTAAACAGAGCGATAAGAATAATGTGGCTTTTAAATCCTGATACACTATTAACAATGTCCTCACCCTTAAGTTTTTAGACAATTCCCTTTCACTTTCTCAGGGTACTTTATACATTTTGGGTCCCACTAACTCCTTTCATTTTTAGATTAGAGGGGCAACCCACTATCTATCTAAGTGGTTCTGAACCTTTTTACCCCTGAGCTTGATCATGAGCGTATTCCTTTACCTACTAAAGCCTCAAGGTTTTCCTTTCTTATAGCTGAGTAGTTCTCCTTTGCACAAAAGTATCATGAGTTTCCAACCTATTAGCAGCTGCTGGACGAGTTGTCCCTATTTCTTTCTGGTTCCCTATCACATAGAGCATTGTTTTCTCATCTTTGACTTTTGGTTTATCAACCCTCTTTCAGGTAGATTATATTTCCTATACAGAGAACATCTTGATGGACCCTACCTCCTGATCTACTCTGCCTGTGTTTCTTTTTGATAGGGTATTAAGACCATCTGTTCGAGATTATAGTCAATCTTCTCTGCCTTATCTCTGCTGTGCTATTTTTCTGCCATTGGTTGTCTACTTTTCTTCTTTATTCCACTGTCTGTCCAGTACATTTGAGACCTTTCTGCCACTGTTCCTGGAATCCTGGTGATTTTTTTCTTTCTCTAGAATGTCCTTCGGTATTTTTTGTAGGGTTGAATGGTGGTCACAAACTGCCCCATTTCCTCTTTGTCATGGAAACATCTTGTTTCTTCATTAATTTTGAGTGACAGTTTTTCAGAGTACATCAATCCGGGTTGGAGGTTATTTTCTTTCAGGGCTTGGAATACTTCACTCCAAGCTCTTCTTGATTTGATAGTTTATGTTGAGAAGTCTGTTGTGGTTTTGATGGGTTTTTCTTTGTAAATGATCTGTTTCCTTTCTCTAGTGGCTTTTAATAATCTGTTCTTATGATGAATTTCTGGAATCTTGATTATTATATGTCTGAATGTAGATTTGTTTTGGTTGTAGCTGGCTGGAGTTCTGTAGGCCTCATATATCTGAATATCGTTTCCTTTCCCCATGCTTGGGAACTTTTCCTTAATTATTTCTGTGAATAGTCTTTGTATTTCATTAGTGTTTACTCTTGCTTCTTTGCTCATGTTTTTTATTCTTAAGTTGTAGATCCTCTTGTCATCTTCTAGCCTTTGTATTGCTTGTTTCCTTGTTATTTTTAAGAGATCTTTCCTTTCACAATCACACATTGCAAATATATCTTCAAGTTTTGAAAGTATAACTTTAGCTTCCGTCAAGAAATTTTGCCAGCTTTCAATGGAGTTTTTGATTTCCTGGTAATCTCTTTGGACCTGTTTCATGTATTCTAGATTTTGTTTATATTCTTCATCAAAGGTTTCTCTCCTTTTTCTCTATTCTTCCATCTGTGTCTTCTTGAGAGGTGCTTAGCATTTCTTTTATTAATCTTCTTATATCTTGCTTCACTTAAATTAGAATTTCAGTTTTAAGTTTGTATATGAGGTCATGAAGGTATTTCTTTCTTTCTTTCTTTTTTTTTTTTTTTTTTTTTGTCTTTTTGAGACAGGGTCTCACTGTGCCATTCAGGCTGGCCTTGGGCTCACTTTGTAGCCTAGGCTGGTCTTGAGCCTTCAGTGAACTGTCTGCCTCAGCTTCCCAAGTGCTGGGATTACAGGAGTGTGCTGCCATGCCCAGCACAAAAGTATTTCTTTATGTGTGCTGATGCTGTGTCTGATATTGCATGTTTGCTCCCCTCAATATCTTCTCTATTTACCTCTCCTGGACTTATTTTTCCCTGGGTCAGTGGCTGGAAGCTTTTTCTTGTTTCTTTCTCTTATCATGTTTCTGGTTTCTTTCAGACAGGTGTATGGTGGAGGTCTTCTGTATTGTTTATGTTTTTCTGAAGCATGCTGGCTAGGGGATTGCTGCCCTCTCCAGTTTGCTGTTGATATGTGAGGTACATGTCGGGATGATGTGGGCTGGCTCCTCTCTCCTCTGAGCCAGTCAGCCACGGAGTGCCTTCACCATGTTAGTCTGTGTTGTGAGGATGTCACAGGTCCAGGAATGTTTTGTCCCTGGCTATTGGGCCCCAGGGGCATGACCTAGACCAAGCAGATTCCACCAGTCTGCTTTGGGCCAGGAGCAGCCGATTGATACCACTGTGGTTGCAGGTTCAGGCCTGTCCTGCCCAAACTCCAATATGTCGTTCAGCTGGTCACCACCTCCATGGGACCAAATTCCTAGCACTCACCATGGGTTAGTGCAAGTCTCTATGCCAGTTCCACTCTCCATTGTGGCACATCCTCCCTCCAAGGGCCTTGCACTCACCAACTCCTGATTTTGGTGTGACTGCAACTTGAGTGTAACCAACCATGTGTTGTCCGACTCTAAGGTGTGCCCAGCACAGCTCAGGACTGGCTCCAGTGAGAGCGTGTCTAGTTCTAGCCTTCCATCCATGTTTTTTCTTTCTTTCTTTTTCTTTTTCCTCAGTTTCTTCCTGGGTTGTGAGAATCCCT